AAAATAATGTTCTTTTATCTTTAATTTATTTTTCTTTTTAAATTTCTATCAAATTTTTTGTTTGTCCAATTAGATTTACTGGGTTGGTCCTATTTCGGGAGCTTTACTTGGAACATATGCCTATCACCTACTGTTTGCAGAAAAACGGCAAAGCAAGAAATAATCTATTCATTTAACTGATAAAAAACTTAACGTGTAGATACATTTGAATAGTGCAATGTAATCATGTAATATAAATAACATACGGGCTTAATTTATTATATAGTCTATAAATGAAAAGCTATAGTATAATAACCTAATTTTTAATATTTTACTTGATAAACAATTACATAATATAGATTATCATCTATTGGTCATGTTTTCTTTTGAGTAACTTCCAGTTGTACTAGGATGGCAGATGTATAATTCGACGATTTTTTCTCATATTTCTAATATTTGTAAAAACAATTTATTTATTGCTATTAACCGATAAAAGACATTAATAATATGATACAAATTCATTTTTTAACAAAGAAACCTAATGTATAAATAAATTATTTGCAATATAACTACTTGATATCGATTGTGGTACATGAATCGGCTGTAAACAAAGAAGATCTGCGCCGTGTAAGTTGCGCAATGTTCCTATTATATTGTTAGATAGAAAAAAGTTAATAAATATATTAATTTTTAAAAGTTAATAAATATATAAATATATATTAATTTTTGAGTTTATTTTTCTACATTCTTCAATAGTACATCCATCATGTTTGGAGGTACAATTCCCTTCGCCACTTAAAAATAGAATATTCGAGTGGGTATATTGCAAATCTTCTTTTAAAATGACAAAAATTTCTAAATAATTTATACGTGGCCTGATTATACGTGGTTTTCGTCGATTCCTTTTTATTGGAAGATCATAACCCTCGTATTCATCAAATAATAAAAAATTAATAATTCTATCCATGTTACATAAACACGTTTTCGTAGATATTTTAAATAAAAATCGAAACACCTTTATTCAAATTAAAGAGAAGTAGTATAATATTTGAAAAGATTGGTTAAGAACGACATACACATCAACGACAAATATCTTGTTGTTGGCGACACTGCTGATTAAGTTAATCGTCGATTAAAGTTAATCGGCGTTGGTCGAAGTGGCCCATTATGCATGTATATATACAAAGACACTCGATTTTATTCGCTGTGACGTTTGACTTTTCTATTTATATATTTCTGTTATCATTTTCACATAAATTCGCATAAATAACGTAGCGCGCACGACTAGTAGGACTGTTATGTAAAGTTCGCTAGTGAGAGTTGCGTATAGAGACGGAGACAAGAGAGGAGAGATGTAAACGGCCAGAATAAATAATATGTTTTAAAAACGAGCTTCGTGTGTAATTAATTCCCCGTTGTAGCAAGCCTGCTACAATTTCAGAAGTGGAATCTCTCAAAGTCCCGTATAAAGAATTTTGCCGAGTGTTGCATAACGTGTGCGCGAGGCTAGACGGGAGTGACGGATATCGGTTCGGAAGATTGCGGAAGAAGAGATTGGTTTTCTGCTGGAAGATTCTCGCATTGCTGTGTGCGTGTGAGTGTGATACGTGTAAAATCTCGCTCTGCTGTGTGCGTGCGGGTGATATACGTATTCGGCAAAAATCAAGAGTTTTGTGTGCGTGCGAGAAGAAAGAAGAACGTACGAGCGTACCGAGAAGGCGCGAAGAAGGATGGATCCTCACTCATTTACGGTGTTTCAATTAAAAAATATTCTACAGCGGTATGGTTTGGCTACTTCGGGAAGAAAAACCGAGCTTGTCTTGCGAATGCAACAATGTGATCCGACGGGAGCATGGATCGAAGAAGCGGCTAGAGCGGCTAGACAGGCTGACGTTGGTGAAGACGAAGATGACGCACAGGCGGATGACGTAGACGCTCAGGAACAAGAGAGGGCACAATCGTCGTCGGGAATGCAATCATTGTCAGGAAACGATTGGCGTCAAAGAGAAGCTGCATTAACGGTGAGAGAAAAAGCTCTTATGCAGAAGGAAATCGAGTTTTTGCGAAGGGAGAACGAGATGTTGCGGTCGTCTCCTAGAAGTATTTCCTCGACAGTATCAAAAACCACTATGAGCATTAAAAACATTAGTGAACTGCTTAGCGAATACCATGGTTCCAGTGACGATTTTGAACGCTGGAAGGCTCAAGTTTATTTATTAAAAAATACTTATGAATTGGATGAGAATTCTGCCAAGATTTTGGTGAGGTCGAGACTTAAAGGAAAAGCACAGAAATGGTATTATTCCCTAGCTGATAATTCGATCTTGTTGGTAGACGAGCTTCTTGAGAAAATGGACGCCATGTTTAATCAACCACTGGGACGACTGGAGCGGAGACGACAATTTGAGGCCCGTAAATGGAAGAAGACTGAAACGTTTAGTGAGTACTGTCATGACAAGCTCATATTGGGAAATCGGGTTCCTATCGCAGAAGATAAGATGGTAGATTACATCATCGAAGGAATCCCGTCAGAAGATTTACGAAATCAAGCCCAGATGCATTCTTTCGAGACTGTGCCAGCGCTACTAAGAGGATTCCGAAAAATTAAATTAACAATGCCCGAAACTGCCACGCCTCGTCGCGAGTATGTTGGAACTCTCTCTCAATACATCAAACCCAAGCTAGGAGTTCCTAAAACAGACAAGGAAAGTCCGAGCAAATCAGGAGTGTCGACGCGAGGAAGCAGCAAGTGTTACAACTGTCAGGAAGTGGGCCATCTCGCCAAGAACTTTACTGCTAAGAAGGAAGACCACATTGATTCTAAGGAAACGACGCCAAAGAGAAGAACGACAGAACGCCAGGTTGGATTAATCGTTGATGACGGAAAGGAATCAGCTGAGGAGGAAACGAACTTGGACGATGAATCGGTATCTCATGAGGAGATTCACCTGGTGGATTTGCAGAGCGGACTCAGGGATGAGTTTAAAAAGGATGTGGATTTGAGTGTAAAGGGAGGTAACAACATTTCTTGTATTGCCAGGATAGATACCGGATGTCCCATAACGTTAAGCTTTGCAGATCTCGATTTACGTTTGTATGTAAGAAAGTGTCAAACATATTATGGAATATCTTTTATGTCGTTTAATGTTCATCATGGACTTCTACACGTTGTAGAAGATGTTAAGATTTTAGGTCCTCTTGAGTCATATTCTGCCTTCGCATATGAAAATAACATGCGTATTTTCACTATTTTCAGAAGATATTGCAGAAAATCTCACCTTCCTTTGCAACAGATTGCGCATAGGAAGGCTGAAGAGTCAAACTGCCATGATAGAAACTTAAACAGAAAATCACTTCGAGACCTCCAAACTAACAAATTATTGACTGTTCGTAAAAAACACAACACTGGTCCAATTTCAAAAGATATTTCTAGTGCACAGCAGTATTCCAAGTTACAGACACAGAGATTTACATTAGGTCTTCAATTTCACAATCACTGTTGCATGTTGAAAGATAGTTTTATTTGCATTATTGTGAATATTCTGACATTTCAAAAAACCTATTACTTGGTTGTTAAAAAATTTCGTCATATTGATAGTTTTTACGACGTTGGAATTTCATGGACTTCTGTAGGGGTTTTCAAGTGTTCGATGTTGAGTCTCGAAACTCTTGCTGTGCCTACGAGTGCAATCGAAGTAAAATGCTACCAAATGCCTTATTGGCGAAGTGGCAATACTGATGAAGATTTCAGTAGTTCCGATGAAACATCAGGTGAACGTAATGATGAATTCATCATTACGACTTTAATATAATTATTTGAATGGTTTGTTGTAAATTTTTTTCTTCTTTTCGAATTTGTTGTTTCCATACTTCGTTATTAATATAATATTTTGAATATTACACATAATTAATATTTAAACACATTGAGAATCAGTTACATTTGAATCGATGCGATTATACAATTATTTCCGGTCAGCGTTAATTACCTGTACCCGAAATTTTGAAGCATCATTTTTTTTCAGTGCTAGCCCTAAAAAGTTATTTCTGAAACAATTTTTGAATAGTAAGCATGTGTGTAAAGTCACATTTTCCTTAGAAAATACAAACTAATAAGAAGAGATTCGAAGGTTTCGTCATGTTTCTAAACGTTTTGCATTATGGAGTTTTTCGCAATTCGTGAGTAGCCACTAAAAAACCCTAAAACATTAAATTTTAGAAAAATAGAAACTAATCGTTATACTTAATTCAGACTTTGGCAATTATAAGATGATCATTTTTTGAATGAGCCTGGAACCAACAGTATATAAGTCTCAGTTAATAATATCATCATTTTCTACCATTTTTTTGGCATTTGGCCGCTATTTAAATTCCGCCATTTGGAAATTTGATATTTTTAGTACAAATTCGTTACTAGGGACGAAGAAAACCCTGTACATACCACTGGATTTCATAATAAAACAACCGCTTTAGTACGCTCTAATGAGCAATATTGCTTTTTAAAATTCAATTTCCCCAGGTTTTAGCCGCCATATTGGGTCCGCCATATTGGTTTTAAAAGGCCGGAGTTAAAACAAAAGTACATGCATGTAGCTATAAAATGCGCCCTAAAACGAATTTTTCGGTTGCCCCCATTTTTGGACGAGGGGGTGTCCGATTTGACAAAGAATATGCATCATCTATTTTCAAATATGTTTGTCTTTCTTATAATTTAAACTCAAGTTATATATGTATTTTCTTTCTATGCCGTTATTATTACACAAATCCAGCAAAGCTTGCCAATGCTGTGTCGACAAATCGTGTCGCTATTCGCTATGTGTCGGCATAACGTGCTCCAAACATGCACCTCACATGCCGACTCAACTGTTGCAAATATGCTGACATGCCTATGCGCAGTTGTGAATGCGTTATGCTAGTACAGTGCCGACAGTTTGTTATCTGGGGCTTTACATCCACGACAACAACAGACGTCTCGTTTTTTGTCATCAGCCATATTCGGGATAAAATATAATCGGATAAGATATAATCGGATAAAATATAATTAGATCATCCGTCTATAAATTAACAAATGGATAGAATGTTTTTCAATTTTTGGATCGGATAACTTTGGTCGGATATCACTTCGGTTTGATCGGAAACATCCATCTGTTAATTTTCAGATGAATTATCCAATTATTTTAAGAGATTTAATTTATCAGAAAAAGCCTGGATTTTTCTCTCAGTGTAGTAATAGTAAACTCGACGGTCGCGTCAGTGAACTTGAATCATCATGTCGGACGATCAAGGTAGTGAATGTTTATAACATCAAGATTTAGATAAACGTCAAAATATGCTTGTGCAATTTTTGCAGGCGGAATATGGCAGATGCAGAAGAACACGATGACGATGTTCGTGGCGGAGATCATTGGTACTGCTATCCTCTTGTTCATCGGTTGCATGGGAAGTATCGGCGGATTAGGATTTGCGCCGCCTCCGCCGCTGCAACCGGCGCTCACCTTTGGTCTGACGGTGAATCTCATAATTATGGTACGTATTGTCGAATACTTGATGATTTCTCGAAACAATATGAATATTATTTTCTGCTAAATATATTTAATAAACACAATTTATTAAAATACGTATATAATGTACACTTGTTTTATGATATAAATTTTGTAATGTACATAATGCCAAGTTTATATATGATACTTATAT